CAATTATCATTGACCTACCACTATTGGCTTTCCTAATACTAACCTAATCAAAAACTTATAAATGAAATTTCAAAGTAACATTAGTTTCCAAGTCAAAAGAGCATGATTGAGGTGGCGGGGCCAAATAATCTCAATGGAAATTAGAAATGACTAAGTTTATACAACTGCATACCAAATATCATTGACCTATTGCTAGTGGTTCCCCCTAAACCGACCTAATCACAAACTAATAAATGTAAACTATGCAAAGTTTCAAAGTCAATAGACCATGACTAAGAGGGTGGGGCCAAATAATTTCTATGGTAATGAGATGTGCCTATGCTAACACAACTGCTTACCAAATATCATTGACCTACCATAAACTAGACCTAATCATAAACTAATACATTGTCGATGCCGCCAAAACAGCATGCCTGTGTCTCTCTTTTTGACTCCGTCAAGGTGAGACAAACATTGCAACAAATTTAATACAAATATTTTGTCCATCATTTTTTAATATTTTTATATTCTTCATTTCTTAGATATGTTAGATATATTTAAAGAAGTAACAAATATGCATTCAGTAAATATTAAAATTGAAAAGAATCCATAATCGAAATACTGCTGCGTAATTATGGTTATAAGTAATTCTCCTTGGCCTTGGTAAAATTTAACCTTGCTCTTGTATTGTCAAGAATACCAAATATCATACTAAAATATTGTTTCTGCACAATGCATCAATATCATGAATTCCAACTATCTTTATATAACTTCATGCAAAAAGTGTCTGATAACTAGGTTTACTTCTAAGTGTGCAATAATATATTTCCTTTTGTAGTAACAGTTACACAGATTCTGACATATCATAGTTCTGAAAGTATCGTTAAACAATCTCTAAAAATTGCTGGACCTTTAGGCAAACTTAATAACAAATAATATTCATGTGTTGCAACTGCTGGCAAGTTTATAATAATTCCTGTCAGAAACCTGAGCCAAAATTTGTCTGTCTAGTCGACATGATGAGACCTGGTATAAATAATCTTCAAAATTGATCATATTATCTGTAGATACACATGTAAATATCTTCATAACATCATAGTAGTCTAAGAGTTTCATTGCTGTTATGGAATTACTGTGGTGAATAGTCCATCCAGCTGCTAAAGAGAATCATGTATTGTACATGTATGCCTTGTCTCTTCTAGTACAAATGTAGTATAAGCCAAACATTTGAATCAAGCTGAAATAAAAATAAATACAAATAGGTATATTGCTTATTTTGACAAACACAATGTAGCAAAAAAACTTCATGTCTAATATGTTCATTGATGCTGTGATAATTAATGCTTACATTAATAACTAGAGCTGTCTTACTGGATAGTGTGACCGCTTTTGAATTCAGTATTGAGACAACAACCTTGTAAGATATTTGGCTTTCAGTTATTTATTTTAAAAAATCATTGCATTTGCCTCAGTCATGTTTGTGTTAGGTTCACACAAGGTTTCTGATAGGTCTACATAAATATATTCTCTAAAACTAATGCATCCATTTATGATTAGATATTGCAAACCTTTGATGACAGTCTCAAATATGAGTTTTAATAAATGTTATTTTATCTAAAATTAAAAAATAACGGAAATTTAGAATTTAAAGATTTTTTACTTGCTTGCATGTATGTATGTCCTGTTGCCTTTTACTAATCATGTTAATGAATGAAAAGATCACATAAACTTTTTAATTTCCAGTATTTCCATCAAATTCCCATCCCTTTCAAAAAATGCATTGGCAAGAGTAGAGAACATCCTTAAAAGTTGGTTAACCATTAGCCAAGTTCTCAAGAGAACAGTTATCGGTTATGCCCCAAACACATAAACTGTCATAGCCCATCACGGGTAGAAAGCTCGTCATATCGAGGAGCGTTTAGTACAGTGATTTTGTCATAGTTTGGTTAAGATGAACGTGGTTGTGTTAAGTTACTTCCCCGAACGATTGCATCAGTTCTATTCAAACGAGCAAATAAGATGTTTAAATTTGCATTGTTAGTCAAACGATCTACATTGGAATTGTTGTTTTCAAGAAACTAACGCAGAATAGCCAAACTATCGAAATTGCTATGGTTTGGTTAAGTTATGACATGGTTCGGTTAAGTGTCTAAAAATTCGTCATGGTTTTGATCAAGTTTATCATGGTTTAGATCCAAATTAATATGTATGTGTTTCAGCTCAATATTGATAGTTTGTTTTAAAACGCTTGTAATTAAACGAAGTTATACAATTTACCAACTGACTAAGAAGAACAAAAGCCTTTAAAACCAAAATTAGATGCTGTTATTGGCAAAGCGTACATTAAACAATTTAACTGTTCGTGACTTGTCTTTTTATGCAAATCGTACTACTACGAGTGACTTGTAAAATAATTAGGAATAAATGAGCACTCATGTAATCCCACATACAAAAACATCATTTGACAAGGATGAGATTTTGGTGATTCATAAATCCTTAGCAGACAGTTAGCAAATCACTTTTCTTTATTCATTAGAAACGAATCACAACTTTTAAATTTTGACATACGCAAGCATTATTCTTCCCAATAAATTTACCTTAGTAACCTAATCATACTTATGATGCTGGTTAAGTTTCAACTGGAATTGTATACATTGAAGGACATTTGACAAGTCAAATAAAATTTTACGCAACTGGTATACCAATTTTTGATTGGAAATTATAGCACCACAGGCAAAAAATATGGCACCATATCAAGCCCGATAGGATCATCTGCCTACTAACGCCCCACTGTGCTGAAAGGGTCTGGGGATAACACAGAGTCAATTTTAGTTATACAGTACAAAAGTTATGTGCAAGACACAAATCAGACAAATGTTTACTAGCTATTATAATAAAAAAACATATAATTTAAAGGGATCAAAGTCAAAGACTGATTGACCTGCATTTGCAAAATGAAAATGACACCTGGGGGTCCCCAGCCCATGATGTTACTTCATACATGTTCATCATGTACAATACATTGACACTATTTTCTTCCCATTGCCCCTATTCTATTATAAATGATAGAACGTCTAATGCCTATGCTACCACATACCAAGTTTTGAAAATAAGAACCGGTAGTTCCGAGTAAAAATGTCATAAACAGTGCGTCGATCAGTCTTGGACCACAAGGGTTTGTACTATTTGACATCAGGCACTTGTTTCTGTCAATTGGGGGTTTACTATTCACACTCGTATGAAATATCAGATATTTCGTACGAGTGTTGAATTCTAGTTTCATTATTTTTCCCTGACTTTCACTTTGTCACATGAACAAATCTGTTTCCGCTCGCTTGATTTATCTCTTCAGTGATATGTATGTAATCCCTTAAGTAATCTCTATAAACATTGTATTCCTTAAAACGAACTTGAAATTTCTGAAGAATGACGCCCTATGTTTGAAAGTGAAAGTACTAAAGCGACACCTAGCGGAAAATATATTTTCGGCATACTCGAGAGTTTACCATAAATAGAAGTTCATACACAGTGTGTACCTAATGAATTCCCGCCAGGGATTCTATTTTGGTCTTATTTCTGGTACAAAAATAAAGAAAGTCCGTGTTTTGCGCATGCCCGAGAATTATCAAATGTTTGGGGTTTAATATTGCACGATAACAAGTACTGCAGAGTCACGATGAAAAATATATATAACATCAGCTGCATTTGATGATTAAATAAAATATAACTTTATATAATGTAGAAAACAAATAATCAAGTATTCTTTCAAGCGTTTAATTAAATTCAATATTCACAACAGAGAATAAGTAAGTCAATGTTTAATATTTACCTTTATTAGGACGGAATCCACCATATTCATCGGCGGGTCATCCAGTTTAAAATAGCCGCAAAATAATATCCATGCGCCATTTGGCAAATGTAACGACTTCTTTACAGACATTTTCGGCGATGAAACTTTTCTTACAATTGTTCACTTACATCTTCATCAAAAGCACAGAAGATAAAAAGCAATGTAAAACTTTTAAATTGGCACTATTTCCAATGGGCAACATCATTTATTTTGGGTTATTTGACGATCATTCAAGGTAATCCTCGTCATATTTATTATTTTTCATAACAAAAAGTATGAAAAAAATGTCTAATAAGTTATAAAGAATCTACCAGACCTGCTAGATCAGAGCAATGGCACTTTTTCAAAAATTCCTAGGGTGGAACCCAAATCCAGGGTGCTCGCATAAGGCAGCTTAACTGCCTAAAAATCACCACATTCATAAGAATACTACTTTGAATTGGTCCATTTGTTTTAATATCGAGGAAAAGATTAAGATATAAAGCAGACCTTTTACTTTTGGTAGTAATTCTAAGATATATGCATTGTAAGCACCCTTTGAAATGTAGGTTATTGAATTATTGTTCATCATATATATATGTATAAAAGTGAAATTATAGAGCTATGCCAAATGCTTCTCTTTTTTTTTTTTGAGGAGATTTTGTATTAATACTGCATCATACTAGAACGAAAACAAGTCATCACAATTAGTACCAACTGCAATATCGACTGACTACTGAAATATTTATCAATCTCACTCATTGATCTAAAAATTGAGTATTTTGATGATATCCTCTTCGGTGGATTTGCTTTTAGATTCAGAGTGATTATTCACATAGTAAGATATTTCATAACCTAGAACATGAAATTGATATATTTCGTTTCCAATTTTTAAGAAAAATAGTTGAATACTGTCTATAAATCAGGAACTTCGAAAGTGCATTATTATTATTCTAAATTCAAAGGTTCATTGTCACTACATAAAACACGGAAACAGTTTATTTAATGTTATTAATGCCATTTCTGCCGTGCTATTCAATTAGCTGTGATAATGAATTCCAATGAATATCGTATTTTAGCATATTGACCTTGTTTTGAATGACTTCAACGATTGTATAGTGTGTGCATAATTGTACTTCATTTAACAGTGGTTTATTCTACGTTTTGCAGTAGCTGGTTAAGACTATTATACCTTATATCTATCTCTATGAGTAGCTACGAACTGAATTCTCTGCATTCCACTATCTTCTGTACAGTATGTGGAGACTGAATTAACCCAGTGCAGTAGAATGTCTAAAAATAAACTTCTTAAATTTACATATGCGCTAGGGCTTAGCAAACATAACCAACCATAGCTAGAGCTGTTATGAACATAGCCAATAGTTCTTAAAGATCATCCTACATTTGCACTACTAAACTTTTTCATGTCAATTTGTTGCAGTCTGTTTTAACATGGTTTGTTTAAACGCTGAGGCATTCCTCTGAATAGATTAGCATATCAATATAATTTCGATTATGATTGCCTTAGGTCCGGCTTTCCTTACAAGTAAATACACAAAATATAGCGATTTAGCCAGTTTTTCGTACTCATTCTCTCCCAACATTTTGCTTTTTAAGACCATAACTCGGAAAAGTAAAAACCAAACGGAATGTTAAACAAGGCAGTGGGTGACTACACATTTACACCTTGAAATAAAAATAAAAGGTACTTATTTTTTGGAAATTCCCGGTCTGATTGTGCTCGCTACTAACGGAAGCTAGCTTGGAATTAGATGATTTGTTTTTTTCAAAGAACAGCATTTTAATTGACCAGCACTGATATTTCTACGCAATCTTAGAAATCTCTACAAACAGACATTTTTTCCATTGTTTTGATACAATTTTAAAGAGTATTTTACAAACATATTCTTGATTTAGAATTTTTTTAAACATGTTAAATGTTAACAATGGTGACGACCGTCGAAACCAGTCGTAATTTGCAAAAACTCGCCTTTCCCAAGTTTGCATGGTGCGTTTGAATGTATTCAATCAGCAAAACATATGGCAATTTTAGTTGCGTTCAAAATAATCTTGAAAATAATCAATGATCAGTACAAAATCTTTCAAAATAAACTTTAATAATACTTATTAGAGATTTCCAATAAAATGACATACGTACGTAACTCGACGTACGGACCTAATGGGACTGGTTATTGCCAACCATTGAATTTGATTACTAGTAAATACGTTGCTCAAGTTTAAACATAGTATTCTAAGACTTTCAAAATTACACACTGGAATTTTCGTCCATATAAAATAATTTTTATTATGACAAAACTTGAAAGAAATCTAGCATTTTTATTTATCAAGTGGTTTTCGAGATTCCCGACTTTATTTTCACTGACATAAGATCACGTATAAACACACGTATCCCATAACTATAATACGTACGATTTGAGTTATCTTCCATGGTTTTGATTTGACAATTATTTCTCAATATACTTTGCAGGTGAATGCCCCATTATACTTTTTTTTGTCTTATTTTATAGTTAATCTGCTTTTTGATTATTTGTTGCGGGGAAAATATTAAGAAGGGTATATTGTCTGACAATTTCAGAAATATCAAAACAAAACTTTGTCAGAATCTATCTCTCTATAAAAGCTGAAAATTGCGATAAAACAATCGCTTCCGTTAATAATCTAAACAAAAGTATTTTTCATTTATTATAAAATGTATTGATAAAAAAATCCCCATATATATATATTCTTTTATGTTTTTTTTTAATTAAGGTGTATTCGATTAGGGATTTTTCAGTACTTCTTTGTTTAACGGGAATGCTATCGGAGTCCAAATACAAAAGACATTTCCAGGCAATTTGTTATGTATCCCTTGAAGTAAATTAACTTATAGTATTTTATCCATTTTATTGACAAACAATTAAAGTTGATAGTTGGTTGCTTAATGCCAAGTTGTAAATATTTCATGCATAACAATTGAAGGTCTTTCCACATCAATTTTCAAAGGTATTGAAAAGAAGCTAGTTCCGGTTTACTCAAAGTTGAAATTGGTATCCAATCATAAGTTTCTTCAAACTGATGCGACAAAAGAATGGTTTCTATATACTTTGAGTGAAATAAGGGAAATAATGTGCTTCTTCCGGTGAAGTAAACGTCACTTCCGGTCTCATTTGATAGCTTCTTTTACACTGATTCCAAAAATACATTTTTGCATGTAAAACAGGAGATAATTGGCCACTTCCGGTTTATCGAAAGTCACTTCTGGTCTTTAGTGATAAGTTTATGTATTTATATTACAAAATATATGGATTCTGAGTACTTTTGCATGAAAAAAGTTGAAAAAAGGCTGCTTCCGGTTTTCTCAAGGTCACTTCCGGTTGTCATTCTTCAAAGTCAAATGTCACCAAACCTTTCGTAAAAGGTCATATGGCTTTATGATGAACCAAGTTGAAGTAATAATCAATTAACCTTATAATTAGACATTTCAGGGGCACTAACTCCTATAAAATGCCATTAGATTGTTTCAAACCAAATGTAACATATCTTCATTACAATAAAGCAAACATTTTGCACTTGTTCTTTCATATATATCCTTAAAAGTGTTGGAGAAAATGCAAAAACAAGGAAAAGTCAAAATTAAGAACTTGACCTTGACTTCATATTCTAAGTAAGGACCTACGGACCTCAAATAAAAATATTCCAGGGTTATACGGTTAAAGGTTTATGATTTAAAAAAACATACTGACAAATTTTTTTGGTAAAGGTAGATAACTCCTATAAAATTTTATCGAATCGCTTCGATCCAAATTAGCCAAAAATTCCTGAGGATGTAAAGAACAATTTAGAAAAAGAATTTTGTCGATATCTTTTTTCTGTTACAAAGGAGATGCACACACTTGATAAACAGTGAATAGAGAGAAAATTGTTCGTCTTAGCAGTGTAAAATTTTAAAGCGCATAAACCATATGATACAATATGAGAAATATCTAAGTAACATATTGCGAAACAAATATTTTACGGAAGAACAAAATAAGCCGGAAAAAAAAATAATTAAAAACCAATTGTTCAGAGAACAATTGAAGGTCTTTCCACATCAATTTTCAAAGTTCTTGAAAAGAAGCTAGTTCCGGTTTACTCAAAGTTAAAATTGGTATCCAATCATAAGTTTCTTCAAACTGATGCGATAAATGAATGGTTTCTATATATTTTTGAGTGAAATAAGGGAGATAATGTGCTACTTCCGGTGAAGTAAAGTCACTTCCGGTCTCATTTGATAGCTTCTTTTACACTGATTCCAAAAATATATTGTTTCTATATACTTTTGCATGTAAAACAGGAGATAATTGGCCACTTCCGGTTTATCGAAAGTCTCTTCTGGTCTGTAGTGATAAGGTTATGTATTTATATTACATTTTATATGGATTCTGAGTACTTTTCCATAAAAAAGTGGAAAAAACGCTACTATCGGTTTTCTCAAGGTCACTTCGAGTTGACATTTCTCAAGGTCATATGTCACCAAACCTTTTGTAAAAGGTCATATGGCTTTATAATGAACCAAGATGAAGTAATAATCAATTAACCTTATAATTAGACATTTCAGAGGCACTAACTCCTATAAGATGCAATTAGATTGTTACAAACCAAATGTAACATATCTTCATTACAGTTAAGCAAACATTTTGCACTTGTTCTTTCATATATATCTTTAAAAGTGTTGGAGAAAATGCAAAAACAAGGAAAAGTCAAAATTGAGAACTTGATATTGACCTTTGACCTTGACTTCATTTTCTGAGATAGGACCTTCGGGCCTCAAATAAAACGATTCAAGGGTTATTCGGTTAAAGGTTTATGAGTTTAAAAAACATACCGATAATTTTTTTTATTAAAGGTAGATAACTCCTATAAAATTTCATCGAATCGCTTCGATCCAAATTAGCCAAAAATTTCTGTGGATGTAACGAACAATTTAGAGAAAGAATTTTGTCGATATCTTTTTTTTGTTACGAAGGAGATGCACACACTTGATAAACAGTGAATAGAGAGATAACTCTTACAAAGATAATTGTTCAGCTTAGCAGGGTGAAATTAAAAAGCGCATACACTGTACCACACAATGTAAGAAATATCTAAGGGACACACTGTGAAACAAATATTTGTCGCAAGAACAAAATTTGGCAGAAGAAAATAAAAAATTAAAAACCAATTGTTCAGAGAACAATTGAAGGTCTTTCCACCCATAAAGATCTATTTTGATATGAAAATATTAAAATTTGGTTTAAAATGTCATTTCCAGCATCAATTGATAGCTTATTGTACGCTGATTCCAAAAAAATATGGTTTCTATACATTTTTTTTTAAATAAGGGAGATAATTTGTCACTTCCGATTTGAAAAATGTTACTTCCGGTATAATTCGAATGTTTACTTGACACAGATTCCAAAAATATATGGTTCTATATACTTTTATATTAAATAAGTACAAAAAATAGCTACTTCCGGTTTACACAAGGTCACTTCCGGTTGGATTTTTCAAGGTCAAATGGCTTGCAACCTTATGCAAAAAGTCCCATGGCTTTATCATATATACATATGAGGTAAAAGCAAAGGTCAAAATCTAGAACGTCAAATTTACCAAGACCTTGAGCTCAATTCCAAGCTCATTAACCTAGGATATCAAATCAAAAGACCCTAGGTCTTAATAATATATGGTTAATGAGTTATATCACCATACATGTATTTTTAAATACAAGAGGGTAGAAAACTCTAATTTAATGTTAGCGCACCATCTAAACCAAAATGTATGTGTTACGACATGTCGAAACTAACAATTTAGTAATAATATGTTGTCGATATCTTATACGTTTTTTAAAAATAGATGAAAATAAGCCAAAATCAAAATTTAGAATATGACCTTGACCTTTGACCTTGACCAAATTTTCTTTTTTTTTCCCAAGGTCTCTATCACTTATGCTTTACCAGTTAGAAATGCATATCACTTATATCAAATGCATAAGGGGAAATAACTATCATATGGAGTCTCCAGAACGCTTCGGTCAAAACCAAACTCAAAATCCTGAAGATATAGCGAGCAATTTGGTAAAATAAATTTTTCGTAATCTTTTATGGTTGCGAAGGAGTAGTGGCAACAAGAAAAACAGTGTTTGGGAAGATAACTCTTACAACGTAAAGTATTCGGTTAAGCAGTTGTCATTTTCAAAAGCGTATAAACTATTCGATATCATATACCAAATATCTAAGTGACATCTTGTAAAACAACAATACTACGCAAGAAAAAAA